TCACGGTAGAGCTGCTGAGGCTCGACTGACCTGCAGATCCTGCTACAGCTGGTCTAGACTCCTAGGCTAAGTTTAAACTGTGGTAAGGTTTAACCCCCCCTCCTGAGGGTCACAGCGGTTTCTGTGATCCTGGTCCACATGCAAGAGGTTTCGGTTGTTTTCCTGAAAGTGTTTGTGTTTATATTCTGAGGTGTGACCTTGTCGCGTGCCCGTCCCATTTACCGGTTCCTTTAAAACCCAGTTCCGTTAGAACTTATGAGACGGTGCATCCATCAGGGTTCGGGGGGATGTCGGCGAGTATAATTGTACTAGATCCTGGATTGGACCATCTAATTAGAATCTTGTCTTTTATTTTAAAGGTGAAATGACTTGTACGAATAGCCAGCCCCAGAGTACTACACTTCTTTTAAACTCGTTACCTTTTGGTTAAGATACTAGAGAGAAGTCTGGAGGCAAGCCAAGCCTCTCAGCAATTGTTTGGGCTACCCGGAATTAATTGCGCCTCTAACAGCTTATGTGGGAGGTTGGTAACTATAAAATGATTTATGCTAGTTGATCAGGCTAACATAAGTTTATCAATTTATTTATTAATCCAACCTTCCAGCTGATTAGAGACTTTTTCAACCTGCAATCAGAGCCAAAATAACCTCGAATATTCTGCTTTTATCGCCCTTAAGACAACTCGTTACTCGCAAGGAGGGGAAAGTTAAAACTTCCCTTATCTTAAGGTTTATTTATATTATTCTGTTATAAACTGTAAAGTAAGTCCCGATAATTCAGAGACCGATCATCGATATGCTTACCTCTGTGCAATTATGGCCAGGGCCCCAAACGTGAAGCTTTAGAGAAAACCTGAAAGAATCAGGATTATGTTTCTTTTTCAAAAAAGGTTTATTACAAAATCAAAATACAAAAATGGGTAAAGTGAAAAACAACTGCTATCCCCCACGGAGGAATTAGTTCAAAATGATTAAATAAGAGTTAGTTTACACCAGCTCTTGTCTTCTCAGAATCTCCCCAAGAACTCTCCCAGCCCGATCTGAGCTGCATCCTTTTATATCACTTCTGAGACTGCTCTAAACAATGTAAGAGTCACAAGTCATTCTCTCCTGACAGTTTAGGTCAAGGGGTCATTTACCAGATACACTTTTTTAGCTCTACATAAGATATTTGGTATCATTTTCACTACATGCAGTATTCACATGAGGGCACAAAAGTTACATTCTGCACTCCTGGAATGAGAGCACAGGTCATAAATCTTCATGTTGGTAGCAAATTGTAGATCTTCCTCCAGCATTCCTGAGAGCTTCTGGGTCCAGTTGGACTTTCCTCACTCCATGCCAGTCCTTCTTTTCCCGCCAGAGGTGGAGTTAGGGGCGGGCCCAGGGGTGGGTCCATGGGCGGATCCACAGAAGCCAGCCTGTCTTTTGACCCTTTGCCTAGTTCTGTCCTCACCAGCAAGTCCTGAACTATTGTCCTCTTGACCCTTGTGTGACCCTTGTCTCTGACCACTGTTTCTAAGCCTTGACCGATTGCTCGGACTTGCAACAACCTAACCTCCAGACAGATTCAACACTCCCTTCAGAAACTTCAAACTTTTTATTTTGAGCTAAAACGTTTCAGATGAGAAGTTCATGAATAAGTCTACCTGCACCCTGCTGGCTGAGAGCCAACTGCACTACAAACTACGCCACCACGCAGGTTTTTTAATAGGAATCAGTTAGCAGAGGTCAGTTCTAATAACACAGCAACAGAAACGGATGAATATTTGCTTAAACTACCCATTAGCTTGTCAGTCTGATGCGAGCTACACGCAGAGCAATTCTTTCCAGGGAACATCGGCGGATCCAGCTCAGGTGTAACATTAGAAAACGCTGCCCGAGGCTGACTGAGTGACAATGACAGGTGGGTTCCTGCATGGACATGATTGAATGACTAACCTGATTCTGGTGATGAGAACCAGTGTGACCATCACCACTGCAGTCCCAACAAGGGCTTTAGAAAACTGCTGTTAACAGCTTTTATGTGAATAATTCAAACATAAAGACCGCAGATGAATTCAAATGGACCAACAAAATGTTCCCTAACCACTGAAAGGACTGAGTTTCAAGTCTCTGAACATTCATTTCTAATACATGAACAGGTTTTCTCTGGAGATAACAAATGCACCAGGTGGCATCCACAACAGAGGCTATGCTAATGCGTGGAAATGGGAAAAAATTGGAGTTTGGCAACAACACTGAAGTCATCTAAGGACACAGCATCAGGGGTCTCATTTATCAAATATTGCGAAGAATCCTTACTAAAACCGTGCTTAGGCTCAGCAAAAAAAAAAGTACTTACGCCAAGCAGGTTTGTGATCTATCGAACATGGAGTACGCACAGCTGCACGCAATCTCCGCTTTGTAACGGAATGAAATGACTGTTTTCCACCTAAACGTCATTTCCAGCCCATGAGAAGAATGAAGACAAAGGACTCTTTCTTTTTAATGAAACAAAGAACTCTATTTTAATAAAGCTAATCAAACAAAGTGTTAGTCAATAATAAGATGTGACCCATCTGTGAAATCAAAATATTAATTACTTTATTATAATCCTATAGAATATAATAAGTAATATGACTTTAAATGTTTCCACTAGGACTGATCTCACGTAGCGTTAAGAGACGACACAATGCTTTTATTGATCCAATCAGAATCTGCCAGATCTGATGGAGGCGTGGTTTTGGTGGTGCTTGGTAAATCTGTCATCTTTTCATTCGACCATAAACCAAAACATCCGAAGTATAAAACTGTGCCCACGCCATCTCTAACGCCAGTTCAAAGCGTTCTAGAGAAGTTGTCGGAGTGGCCAATCCGTAACTTTCCTCTTCAGCCGAAAGAACCAACGACACGCTGGAGAAAATCTGTTGCTGTTCCACCTGCTGCAACGGTTCCTTTCAGAATAAAAGCTGAACCATCAAGACCCAGGTTTGGGTCTCGCTAGATGCCAACAAAACTGTCGTGACCCGGAAGTATCTCAAGGCTGGTCTGGTCGGCAACCGCTGCTTTTCCTACCGGCTTCGGTTCCAGAGAGGGTCCAGCTGGACCTCGACATTCCTGATCTAACGGGGACTTCCAAAAGGGTATGTAGGCTGAGGGGATGGCGTCTTATGTGTTTATGAATCTCTGAATTAAAGCTTAGCGAGAAGACATCACCTTCACTCCCACCAGAATTAGTCGTTTCTCCGGATTTGCTGGTTCTGAAATATTCACACTACACCATTCTCCGTCTCATCCACCTTAGTTACACCATACACCTAGTGTTGAAGTTAGTCTAGTTTTAATTTGTTTAGTAATAAATCTTTAAACTTTTAAAACTTGACTCCCTCTTTTTTCTTGAAGTTAATACGGAGTGTTTCTTAATCCCTGCAACAAAAAGATCCAATCTTCTGATTAAATTTAAAGATCCATTAAGTTGATATTTCACATTTTTTGGTTTCTAATTAAATGTAGGAATTTCTGCGCTACAGCTTCATCAATCAGAAACCATCTAGAAAGGTTTTCAGCTGCTTTTTAGTCACATCCCGCCCTCACCACGCCCACTTACTGCCATAAATGGTCGATGCAAAGTGTCTTGTGGACCTCATGCATATATATAAGCGGCTGTTGCAGCGCTCTGCCAATGACGATGGCGACCGTAGATCAAGGCAGATCAAGGAAGTGCTATTTCACAGAAGCAGAAGTTGAGGTACCTGTGGGTGAGATGGAGAAATGAAAGGAAGTGCTTTTGCAAAACAAATAAGAGAAAATCCACGGAGTGGCACAGCGTTGCTGAAGCCGTCAATGCTGAGTTCTTCAGAGAGATCTGTGGCGGATATAAAAAATGGTCCAATCAGGATTCGATCCCCAGACTCCCGGGTGAAAATCACACACACTAACCAGTCAGCCAAATGGAGATCTTCCTTGTCCAAGTAGCCAGGACACATCATCAATCGGGTCACAGTGACAGGACACACACCGTCACAGACGCATGACGTTCTGTCTCAATCTGTCCCCCTGCTGATATGCTGTGCTTCAGGCTGTGTGTGTGTGTGTGTGTGTGGGGGGGGGGGGGGGGTCTTGCTCTGTGTGAAAACGAAGCGGTACAAGTGATAATGCTGCAGGATTTCATAATTGTATCTTCTCAGCAGCAGCACTGCAGGTGCTCTCCATGTCCAGCATGTGTGTAAGCCAGGTCCTTAGGCAACTTAAAGTTGTGCACATTTTTCCGCTAAGTTTTCTTTCATAAATCCCAAAGTTTGCGTGGAAAGTTGCTTACGCAGTTTTCCGACCCCGTTTTGTGCGTAAGCTAGCTTGATAAATGAGGCCCCTGACCTTTTCACTGTTCCTCCAGTTTGTCTCCAGAACAGGTTATCGAGCTTCCACAGGTGACCACCGCTGCATATCTAAATAATTAGTACAGCACAGTTGATCCACTCTGGTACAGAGGGAAACCAGAAGAAAAGGAGAAAGTTTGACTGGACTGATGAGCTAACTGCTACCGCTGCCATCCTAAAAAAACTCCAGCTCCAAAATCTCAGTTGTTCATGTCGATGTTACCTTATCGCACCTTTGTTTATCGCATCTCGTGCAGGAAATTCAACAGAAATAGCCCTCCTGGAGGTGCCTGGGGTTGCACAGCTGAGGTTTGTGCTGCAGATATGTAGACGCTAGCGTTATGTTTCTGTTTTAGCTGAAGATGGTTTCTAATGGCTAGAGCAGAGGTTCCAGAAGAACTGAGTGAAATATGCATATTTTTGCTGCCAGGTTGGACCTGCTGTGTAGCAACACCTGTTTAATTGTTTCTACCCTGCTTTTACATCCCTGTTTGAACTGATCAGCACAGAGCCCGGGTCTCGACCTCTAACATCGAGCGCCAACTAGAGAAAATGGACACAAGACAAAACGTGTCTTCATAATTTTCCATTTAGAAACAGTGAAAGAGACACAAGCATGGACACGGCTGTGCAACAAACAGGATAGTGTAACATTCCACCTTTATTACTGGCCTACTCTGTTCAGCTTTTTTTTTCTTCCTTTTTTGTTCTTTTTTAAGAAAATTCTCATAAAAACTCTCTATCTTTTTTTCTTAGAAAACATAAAAAAAGACCGATTTACAGGTTTTTTTTACTCACGAAATATTCTCTGGCTTTTGTTTTGAAGCCCACACGACTCGTTTGTGATCTTTTGCAGCACACGATGTTTCAGCATATGCATTTTAACAGCAAACAGAAGTCACCACATCTCAGCAAAGTCAAAACAAAGATACAGAAACTTCATACAGAAATAATAAATACATGCATTCCTGTGACGTAATGCCATGCGAACACAGTCTGTTTCTGGGAAGTAAATTGTTTATGATTGGATTTTCGTTTCCGTACTTCGAAGTTTCATGCCTCTGGCTATACATTCATGACATGGCTTTTACATGATGTGACACCGACTTCCTCTGCTGCAGGACGAAGCTGCAAAAACGCCTCGCTTCAGCGTGGATGAAAGTGACAGTATCAGTGAGATTTCAACACCTACAGCGTCAAACTCCACAAACACGGCGTTTGTTCCAGTTGTTGCTCTCGCGTGTTTAGCTAGAACTTGCTAAAGCTAATCCAAAACACAGCGTTTTGGTATTTAGTGGATCATCACAAAACATCAGCTCTCTATTCTCAGACTGAAATTAGCTTCAGTGTGAAATCCGCCACACTGACTTCCTGTGGGAGCAGCAAAAAAAAAACAGAAGAGCAGTTTTCTCTCAACGACAGCGAGTCCCTGTACGATCCTGATGAGCCGATTATCAGCCTCATCAGCGCAGCGCAGACCTGCCTGCCTGCCTGCCAAAGTGCAGCGTGAGACTCGAGTCTGATGGGGATGCTGACCATCGTGTTGTTCTTCTGCGACTGCATCAGAGGTCAGGTCAACGCAGAAGAGTAGAATAGTGTTTACCCTGTAGGACCAAGTAACGTTTAGTGTTTGTGAAAAGAAATGTAGGAGTTCTGAAGAGCAGCGCCGGGCCTGCAGGGGGCAGTAACGGGCTACAGATCAAAGCTCTGCTGTTGACCTGTGGCTTCCTGCTGGGCTGCAGGAGGCAGGTTCAACAACCGAGGAAAAGTTCGTGAGAACAATCTTTAAAATCTCACTTTCACGTTAATTCTAATTCCTTTAACACAAAATAATCAACTGTAAATGAATTAGGAGTCAAAAGTTGCCTTCCTGCATCAGTCAGGTCATTAAAACGCTTCAGAACACTGCATCGAGCAGCCTTCAGTTGCAGTTTGCTGCTGAAGTTATAAACACCGTTCAGGACACCATTTATAAATCTGGTCTGCTTTTAAAACATCACTGGCTGATTTAGTTCAGTTTGCAGGAATATTTGACAAATACCAACCACAGGTCGATAAAAGGTGTTTACAAGCAGCGACTGTGGTTTGGAAAACAGAATGGTGATTACGACGCATCTGCTCGCCGGAAAAGCCAGACAAACTCATGAGATGTGTGTAGATAAACCTCCTCCTCATCCTCAAAACCTTTCTGTGTTATTCATTTGAATGTATTTTGTGCTCTTGGGAAGCTAAATGAGACAGGTGTTGGATTCAGACTCCGTTTAGGTAAAAACTTCATCTGAAATAACTCTGGTCTGGATATCCTTACTGGGACATCCCCTCATGGCCAAATCTGTCCAATCAGGCTGTTGAAAGCTAAAGTGTCGACTCCATCTACAGGTTAGTTTGGGTTCGACAGCCTGTGTTTTTTTTTTATTAGCCTTCTTGAGTTTAATTCATGGACGTAATTTTCACTTTAGAAGTGGGGGGGACACGGGGCTGGGGGGTATCTTTACAGTATGTTCTCATGGGAAGCAGGCTTCAACACAAATGGTTGTTTTCTGCTTGGTCCTAGAGCTCAACCAGTGTCAATTTAATATAGTGTAATATTGATTTTGGATGGTAAAAAGTGAAGGGGTCAAAACTTGACTTTGGAAAAAGTGGGGGGGACATGTCCCCCCTGTCCCCCCCCAAAATTACGTCCATGGTTTAATTAAATGTTTAACCATTAGTCACAAAAATGAATTCTTAATCATTATAAATGAGCTAAATATGGGAAAAAACCAAGATTTCCTAAAGCAAAATTAAAACGATCCTTAAATGTTTGACCTAAAGATAAGAAATGACCGTCTTAGGTAACAGTGGCTAATCGTTAGCGCTAGCATCTGCCTGTCTCTGCGTCCTGCCAGCATGATGTCAACATGATTGTGATTTCACATTTATCTGAGGAGGGCAGCTGGGCTTCCACTTTTCTTTTTGCTTTTCACAAAAGAAAACCATTCAAGTGGCGGCTCTGCCTTATCAGAGTTTTCCATTTAGCCTATTTTTTTATTTGGTCTCCACCGGTTCGCAGAATAAAAAAAAAAATCTGTTTTTAGGTGGCTAATAAAAAAAAAGGATATTTTGGCTTTGTTATTCTACTTAGGGCTTTATGGAGCAACGTCTTCTTACTCTGATCAGCGCCTTTCACACACAGAAGTAACACAAATCCTCAGTACGCATGGAAGAGCAAGCGTTTGGTGTGGGGACAGATTTAAAACCCATCAGTAAATCAAATGATATCAATGAAATTTAAATATTTTGTAAAACAAAACAGGAATCTAACTCTAAATCGTTCAGTCCACCTGAACAGTCGGCGTCACAAACCCAACATTTAAACATCAAGGTAACAATTGTGAGTTCATATATGGTTTAATGATGTCATTTGATGTTGTTTCTTTATCTGATGGAGAAAAACGCTGACAGTAAATAAAGTATAAGCCTTGAAACATCCATGGTTTCACTCCTCTGGAACGAACGGGTTTGGGAAGCTCTGAAGCCAACGGTCTTCACGCGGAGGCGAACTCACTAACAGCCTCGGGATGAAGACTCGAAGAGACTCGTGACAACCCCAGTCAAGCAAAAACGTCCGTTTTTCTGAGTGAGTGTGTTCAGTCGGACTCACCGACCGGTTTAGACACAGATACACCAGGATTAGAACGAGCAGCTACTAATGCTACTTAAGGTTAGCTACCTATTTGCCAATCACAGGTGGTGCGACTACCCCTATTGCCAAAATCTTCCTGTCGAGGTACTATGGCAAGCCAATTAATAATAAAATGATTAGATACGATATTTAAGTACAGCTACCTGAACCAAATCCTTCCGGTCACACTGAGCATTTCAGCTTTAAAGAAACATCATTGTGAAGGTCCAAATTAGGTAAACGTTTCATTCAGACATAAGAAGGAGCAAATTAGTTATTTTATTTTTTTACAAATGTCTTCAGAGCTTTTAGGAGCTTAGTGTTGTTTCAACATCAAACAGAAAACTAGAGACCATCTAACATGAAGGTTTCTGAATTAGAAACCAGCACACGAGTAAACACAACGTTTCTTCGGGATAAGGAAGAATTGAGTTGGCATATCTGTGATTCATCTGTAGTCTTGACCGTGACTTTTAAGGACGTCTGAAACACGATGTGTGTGTTCTGACTAAATCCGCCTCTGGTTGCTGCACACCGCGGCAGCTCTATCACTACGCTGCAAACTTTAGAAATGATGCTTCCCTCTCGGCTGGGAACTGTGACAGCTCCATCCACGCAAAGTGCAAAGATAATTCTTCATAATGGACACAGTGTACGCCATCTGCCAGGCTCAGTGTGTAGTGTGCTTTCTGCCCACCGTGCTGCTCTTTTCCACTCTGTTTGGTTTAGTCTCCTCTTGCTGATGTCCAGGTGTGAGAGGTTAAGGTGTCAAAACGGTGGTTACAGCTGACCGCTTTCGTGTCTGAGTGTCCTCGGCTCGAACGGCCTCCGTTACCCTCTCTTAGTTCTGACCACGCCCGATGAACACAGAATTGACAACAGTGAAATAAACCAATGCATTTGGATTTTTCTTAGAATCAGCAAGAAGATTTTGGCACAAAATCTGGTTTGTACGCCAAACGGTTGGAGTTGGAACGAGCTTTGGAACCATGAGAATGCTAATTTGAGCAAATGAGATGCACCGTCCGGACCGAAGCACTGACTGCTGACCAAAGCGGCTGCACTTGACTCTGGCCAGCTTAGCTGCTTTAGTTTGGGAGTGAGCACTCCTCAGGGGACACCTCAGACTACACCTGACAAGGCGCCTCAGCATCTGAGTCTATCCAGCCCACCAGAAACAGGAGGGTCCTGCCTACAGGTACGAATAACTCTTCAAATGTTTGTCACGTGATCAGGATTCTCCCTGACCTCTATGCATTCTATCTCTTCCCGTTCTCGTTCTCTTTCCCTCTCTCGCTCTCGCTCTTTCCTCTTGGCCCTTTTCTTTTTCTTGTGTCTCTTTTTGGAGGGCGGGAAGAAGGTCAGGAAGACGGGTAAGATGACGAAGCAGTGCAGCACAGTGCAGCCCGCGGTGAGCAGAGAACACTTGAACAGCGTGTAGGTCAAATTGGAAGGCACAAACACAAGAGGCATGATCCCGATCACAAAGCACGAAGCGTTCTGCAGGATGGCTGCCCCGTGCTCCTCCAGTGCCAGCTTGATGCACTGCGTCCTCGTGTGCTCTGTGGCGAGCACAAAAGTGTACAGGTGTGGCGCACAGTGATCCATGGCAAAGTTGAGTGTGTAAATAAGGCACAGGATGGAGATGCTGTCCATGCCGACGTTCCAGAGGGTCATCAAACCCAAAACACCCAGCTCAACGGACGTGACTGTGAGGATGAGCCAGAAGTTTCCCAAAGGGTTGATGACCAGGAAGAAAGTGAGGATGAGGATGGTGAGAACACTGAAACCTGAGGTCAGGATGGGTGAGATGACGGACGAGCTGTAGCGGTCCATGAAAACAAACGTGGGATTGAAGGCAATGAACTTGATACTGTTGATCAGCATCAAGGGGCGAAGCTTTTCCAGAAGCTCCACCACCTCTTCTCGTTTCTTCTCCGTCGTCCGTGCTACTAAGTACATCCGTGAGGCGATGATGTCATACTCGTCTGTCTCGCGGTTTTTGGAGAAGATGATGTCTTCGGTGAAGTGCTGGTACTCCGGGCTGCGCAGGAAAGAACTTTTTAAAATACCGATGAAGTCACTCTTTGTTGAAGCGCTCACGTTTACCACTCGTAGGTAATGGAAGAAGTTGTCCATCCAGGAGATCTTGTTGAAGCCGTGACTCAGCGTCTTCAGGTGCTCCTGCACTGTAGCGTTCCAGTACTCGATGGGTTCGTAGATGTAAAACCCAATCACAGGACTGTAATTACTGAAGTATTTCTGTTGGGTGAATGCATACGAAACACTTGGTGAGTTACTCGCCAGCAGGTTCACTATATTTGATCCATCACTTATTTGTAAACATCCCATGAAGGAGAACGAGGCATAGATGAGATACAGAATGACCACAAAGGGTTTCACGTAAGTATTGGTAATCCACTCGGTGTAGTGCTCTCGTAGGAAGTGCTGGATGAAGTGATTCTGGTACGGTACGCTATCATGATGCGTGGACAGGTCATGGCCGTCACTCATCATGGTTTTAAACCACGTGGGCTGGCGGTCCAGGTACTCCACCGAGGGGATCTTGCAGCAGAAAACACTGTGGTAGCGATTCTGCTCAAGCTGTCCTGCGAACACCAGGCAGGAGCCGTAGAAAGAAAACACATAGAAGTAGTTGACCAGGATGGCCACACACATGCTCTGGCAGAAGATTTTCACGGACTCGATGTTGGTGAAAGGGCTGGCTCCCATGCCAAAGGTGATGATGTAGAGTGAGCTAGTCATGGTGTAGCACACCATCACATCAGCAAAAGCATCCGCCACTCGCTCCTTGAAGGGCAGGTTTTCCCTCGTTCTCCTCCAACCCGCCAGCAGCTCAAACACACCTTTGGTTCCGTGACCTAGAAGACAAGAAAACGCGATTAGCGCTGGTAAAGGAAAACGTTTGCATGGCATTAAAAGTACAGGGGAGGTTTCAAACCACCGAAGCTGTTGTTTGAAAGGGGTAATTAGGTGTGTAATGCCATATAGGGTTCCACAACCCCCCAAGGTGCTTTACAACACAGTCAACCCTTCACCCACACAAACACATTCACAGTCTTAGAAGATTTTGAAATGTTATAATCCCAGTTGGAGTTTGAGATACTCAGTATTTGTGTTTCAGATTGAAGAAATGACTTTTTTATCGTAATCATTGCAGTTTTCTAAAAACCTTTCATCAATACAAATAAAACAAATGTGGATATATATATATATATATACATACATATATATATATATATTTACATACATGTATATATATTTATATTTACATACATGTATATGTATATGTATATATATAGATAGCTAGATAGATAGATATAGATATAGATATCTACATATATATATATATATATATATATATATATATATATATATATATATATATATATATGTATATGTATATGTATATATATATATACATATCTACATATATATATATATATATATATATATGTATATGTATATGTATATATATATATATATGTATATATATATATGTATATGTATATGTATATAGATAGATAGATATAGATATAGATATCTACATATGAGAGAGAGAGAGAGAGAGAGCTATACATATAGATAGATACATCTTACCCTTTACCATCACGTGTGTCTTTGTAGACGGGATGTATTATTTTTTATTGCAGCGTTCCAGTAGATTTAATTTCAGAAGTAATTTGTCAGAATACCCAGGTTTCAGAACCGGGACCAGTCTAGCTTCAGGGGGAGGAGAAAGCCTGGCAGTGAGCTACTTTCTCCCATTTGCAGGAAAAAGCTTTACATCGACCACATTTCAGTTGAGACCGGAAAACGCATGAATGCAGCCAAAAAAAGGCTTTGGGGGTATTTCTCATGAGGAAATGACGATACCACATGGTAAAAAATCACTAAAAGTTGATTTTTCATGATATGGAAACTTTACAAAAACTCTTCAATCAATGAACCTCTCCATCCTCCTCAATCTTTTGACATCCTTTTGCCTTTGCTACAGTCCGTCTAGATTTCTAGGCTAAGAAAGTCACCCTTTCAGACCATTCTACTGCACATACAGAGAGGTCCTCTAAAACTACCTGGACATTTTGATAGTAGAAACAAGGCTAATGACTGTTTTCCTATAGCCTTGAGTTGCATTTTCCACTGCAAATGCAATGGGACTCGCTATAAATGAAAGATAGAAAGAGCTCAAGGTGCTGCCACCTTTCAAAAAAACCAAATAGTCCACCACTGGTGTAAGTTCTGACATCACCAAGCTTTTTCAGGTACCAGAGGTAGAGACCCATATCGGGTCCTACGAGACACAATCCCTGAGACGTAGGTAGAAATATAAACAAGCTGGCAGCCATATTTTATTTCACCATGGCGTCCAGAATGGGTGGTGTTATTCATCAGTCTAAAGCAACTTCTTTGCTAAATGACTTGTCCGCAAAAAGTGAGCGCTGATTTTCAGCCGCTACTCTTTTCTCTTCACAAGTAGAGCCGGGACTCGGATTACTCAGCCATCCAACAGAACCCCAAAGTATCTGCATGATGTTCATTCATGTGAGTCAAATCTGTGGGCTTTTCACCGGTCAAAAAATATAGACATAAAAGCAGCGTGCCCAAGGCGCCGAGCAACACCACCCACGCCGGAACACCCGCTTTCCCACGCACTGCGCCTGGATTGGAGAAATGCACAAGCCCCATGGCTGGGAGTAAGTGTGCTCGCGGATGAAACTGTCAGCACACAACTTCATGTTCCTGCGTCGTATAAAAAATTTACCAGAGAGCACGGTTTCTGCTCTAAAGTAGACCTTACAGATTTATGCAGTGAGCAGGAAAGTGTGTGTGTGTGTGTGTGAGAGGGGGGTGGGGGGGTGGGGGGGTTGACATTATTATACATTTCCACATGTTTGACACAAAGGAGAAAAGTTAATTAACTATAAAGGATTAAGCCTTTGTAATGAGTCAGCTAGATGTCTCGTCCTGCTTTTAGTTTTATTAAGCTCTGCTGCACGTCCATCAGTTAGTGCCACTTGTTTTAGAGGGAGAGGAGAGAGAGGAAATGCAAAGCCCTCCTTCCTGCATCTTTACACCAGGGGCCTCGCTCGGCATGCCTTTCCATTCACCAATTACCAAATGGGATGTAAAGAAGCGTGTCATTTAGCAGACATGATTAGAAAGGCTCCAGGACTCATCATGCTGATAGGCTGCCTGCAGGTGATGACGTAAATGCAGCCGACAGCCCATCGGGTGAATACTCTCTAGTTACTGTAGTATCACTTCTCAGCAGGAATAGGTAAATGCAGCACTTCATTGATTAGCTACACATTTAAACAGACTTAGATATCGGATAACTTGTGAGTTACAATGAGAAATGATCAACATTGCAACTTATAATTTGCATATACCAGTGAACTCGTGTTCTCCTGCCTAATCCTGTTTGTTTTATTATTTCATCACATTTTAGAAAAATTCACATCTGTATTGAGAATCGGCACGGAGAGGAAAGATTTAAAGGAGCAACATGTAAGAATTCTGCAGTAAAACAGCTGCACAACAGTCTAATATCTCAGTCATGCGGGAAGGAAGGGCACAGCCTTCCACAACAGATTTCATCATCAGTCGTTTGGGGGATTATCCGTTTTTCTCCTTTTGACAAAAATAAAACAGGGACGTAGTCACTGTTCACATTCTGGTAGTTTGTGAGAGTGTCAAATCCGCGCCAAGCTAGCAGCATTTAGAATTCAACACTGGCAGGCAAAAAGCTCCGGAGTTGTTTAAAGAACTCAAGCCGGTAAACAGGAGCGACCCAGAAGTTATTCCTCGTACCCCTAAGAAGCCACGGCATCTTTATGTCTTACTCTAATATCGGGTGAAGAAGGCTAGAAGCTAATGCTGAGCTAACAATGCTAACAGGGGAGGAGGAGCAAACAGTCAGCACTACACCTGTGATGTGGTTATTGTTTCCGGACGATCTGGTATTGTACGATGCTTTCCAGAGCTTGAAGATTTACTGGGATTTGAACCCGCAACCATTCATTTACAGAGAAGGGTTTGAAAGAGAAAAATACCCAGTAAGCTGTTGTGTGGATAGAAATGTCAGAGAAGACCGATCAGGCTGTTTCTTCACTCTCCAGCCTTAAGTTCTCCTCTGAGGCCCTGGTACTTCTCTAGTTTCTCGTGTTCCTCTTCCCTGATGCTGCATCACTCGGTATCGCCACATCAACCACCACAGCTGTCCTCTGTTGTTTGTCCACCACCACCATGTCCAGTTGGTTCTCCGTAACCATTTTGTCAGTCTAGATCTGGAAGTCCCACAGGAGCTTGGCTTTGTCGTTCTCTACCACCCTAAGGGGTGTCACCCACTTAGACTTCGGAGCTTCCAGTACTCTGCACAGGCGATCGTGTCATCCATCATTTTAGCAGAATACTAACCTAACCCATGAAGGTTACACAACATCAATCAGGAAAAGATTCCCATCAGAACATCTGAACAATATCTCCCACGGGCACACCATCCCCAACACATCACACTATCGACAGTACGCTGAAATCGGTGGACAGGAGCTCGGAGCGCATTTGCCGAAGGTCCCAGACGTGCTCCAGGGGAAGCAGAGCTAACCCTAACCACAGCTGCACAAGAACGAAGACGGCAATGAGGCATTTTAAAACTTTGGCTTAAGTAGTGCAAGTGACGAGATGCAGTTACCAGTGTTGGGAGTAACGCGATACAAAAGTAATTAATTACTGTAATGCATTGCTTTTTGCTGTAATGTGGTAATGTAAGGCATTACAGGGAAAGAAAATGGTAATATTTACTCGGTACAATTGTCAGTAACGCGGTAATTACAATGCATTTTTAAACCCAGAATCAAGATGCGTTTCTTAAAAATTCAAATTGCGGGAAACCCGAAGAAAGATCCAGTATCTGCATATATTACGTCATTTATGGACTCAGCTTTGCGGACAGAGAGGACGCAGCGGTAACGGCTCAAATACTCCAGCGGCGTCCTGCACGCGGCCACTGCAACATTCACAAAATCGCTCCACTAAAACAAAATAATTCACCTGCGATCGTTCATATCAGCGCATGTTCTCTGGTGTTTTGTGCTTTTCTGACATGCTTTGCCTCAGCTGAGTTAATCTGGGCTCCGGTGATTTCAACTCTGCTAGAGCGCCGCACATGTGAAGATCCCTCTGGCTGATCGTTAGAAAGTAGGAAATCTAGGAAACAGTTTTTCTGGAAGACGGAGAAAACATGCAGCATGCAGGAAGGTTAGAGAGAGAAAGGGCAGGAAATCATTCAAATAAAATCAAGAAAAAAAGAAAAAAGTAGGAAGATTTATCCCCAATACACATGTTTACCAGTGAAAAGCAATAATATATAAGCATTTAATATTTATACATGTGATAGAATCAGATCACCCCAGAAGTCAGTCCCACATCCAGGGCCGTATCAAGCATTTGGGGACCAAGGCAAATAGGCTTGGAGCCCCCACCACCTCACTCGCCGCTCAGTTAATCTAAGATGGCAGCGTGTTGAGAGTACAGATTGTTGTTGCTTTTATTACATAAACAATCCTTCTAAAGAACTGTTTTTAACAGCAATCCTAGCTCAGACACCACATCACCTTCCACCAGATGTGTCATGAGCTCACCAGGCATCGGATTACCAAGCTCATACTGAAGCTGTTTTGTTGAAAGTAACTTAGAGTAATGCAAAAGTAGTGTAATGCCTTACATTTTAAAATCAGTAATATTGTAATGTAATGAATTACTTTAAAATGAGGGTAACAAGTAATAAAAAACGCATTACAGTTTTGAAGTAACTTGCCCAACACTGGCAGTGACAACAGCATCTTCTGCTCTCACAGAG